GAGAGAATTGCTCACGCGATTTGGCACGTCCGATTACCATAATTATAATGAGGCCCGCGCACGAATCTGACAGATAGGCAATTTGCGTGAATACATCAAGGAGTTTGAACGACTAGCCTATCGCGTGCGAGATTGGTCTGAGGATGAGCTAGTAGGAGCCTTCGTAGGTGGGCTGAGATTCGATCTAGCCGCAGAAGTCCGACTGGAGCGGCCGGGCACGATGCATAATGCCATGGAGGTGGCCCGTCGACGAGAAGACACACTGGTCACTACGCGAAGGGGACGGGCGGATGTGCGAATCACGAACGCGCGACGCACAGGACCGAACCAGGCAACAGCCAGCGCACGGCCAAACATCTGCAATCGACCTGCGGGGTCCATAGTAAGGCGGCTGTCCCCCGAGGAAGTTAAACGTCGACGTGAGAAAGGCTTATGTTTCAAGTGTGAGGAGAAATTTACACCAGGTCATCAGTCTAAGCAAGCTTTTGTGATCGAAGTTGCTAATCCTGATGAGGAAGGATCTGAGGATGAGGAGAAACCACATCAGGATATTGAAGTTGAGGGGCCCGACGAAGAAGCAGAAATCTCGATGCACGCAATGGCCGGGATTAGAGGGCCTCGAACGATGCGATTGCCGGCCTAGGTCAAGGATCGGAAGGTGATGGTGCTAGTGGACAACGGGTCATCACACAACTTCATCAATTCTTACTTGTCCCAGAAGCTGAACTTACCAACCACGAAGATTGAGCCTTTTGAGGTACGAGTAGCCAATGGTGAGAGGCTGCAATGCACTAAATCCTTCCGGAAGGTGCCAATCAGGTTCAGCGGAGTTACGGTGAAGGCTGATCTCTATGCCTTACCTTTGGTTGGGCCGGATGTCGTCCTAGGAGTACAGTGGCTCGAAGGGTTAGGCAAGGTGACCACCGAATATCGAACAAGAATTATGGAGTTCAACTCCAGAGGTCAGCAAGTCACTCTGAGTACNNGTAGGACTTAAGAGCATTGAAAAAGTTTGGCGGGGCGGAGGCCAAATATTTGCAGTAGTAGTATAGAAAACTGAGGCGCACATAGACCAAGAGGAACAACAACAGGGAGATTTGCGCGAGCTTCTCAAGGAATTTGAGGGAGTACTGGGCGAACCTAAAGGACTACCCCCACACCGGGAGTTCGATCATCGCATACCACTAATCAATGAGCAGCATGCCATACACGTTCATCCTTATAGTTACGCTCACTTTCAGAAAACCGAGATCGAACGGCAAGTGGCCGAGATGCTTGAATCAGGACTAATCCAGCATAGCAAGAGTCCGTTTTCTTCTCCAGTCTTGCTAGCCAAAAAGAAAGACGGCACGTGAAGGTTCTGTACTGACTACCGAGCTCTGAACGCTGCAACCATCAAGGACCGATTTCC